TCAGACACTGTTGAGAGAGCAAGAGTGACTCAGACACTGTTGTGAGAGCAAGAGTGACTCAGACACTGTTGGGAAAGCGAGTGACTCAGACACTGTTGTGAGAGCGAGAGTGACTCAGACACTGTTCTGAGAGCCAGTGTGACTCAGACACTGTTTTGAGAGCGAGTGACTCAGACACTGCTCTGAGAGCGAGACTGATTTAAACATTGTTCTGAGAGCGAGAGTGACTCAGACACTGTTGTGAGAGCCAGAGTGACTCAGACACTGTTGTGAGAGCCACAGTGACTCAGACACTGTTGTGAGAGCCAGATTGACTCAGACACTGTTGTGAGAGCCAGAGTGACTCAGACACTGTTGTGAGAGCCAGAGTGATTCAGACACTGTAGTGAGAGCGAGTGACTTAGACACTGTTCTGAGAGCGAGACTAACTCAAACACTGTTCTGAGAGCGAGAGTGACTCAAACACTGAGAGCGAGAGTGACTCAGACACTGTTCTCAGAGCGAGAGTGACTCAAACACTGCTCAGAGAGCAAGAGTGACTCAGACACTGTTGTGAGAGCGGGAGTGACTCAGACACTTGTGAGAGCGAGACTGACTCAAACACTGAGAGCGAGAGTGACTCAGACACTGTTCTGAGAGCGAGAGCGATTCAAACACTGTTCTGAGAGCGAGAGTGACTCAGACACTATTGTGAGAGCCAGAGTGACTCAGACACTGTTGTGAGAGCCAGAGTGACTCAGACACTGTTGTGAGAACCAGAGTGACTCAGACACTGTTGTGAGAGCCAGAGTGACTCAGACACTGTTGTGAGAGCCAGAGTAACTCAGACACTGTTGTGAGAGCCAGAGTGACTCAGACACTATTGTGAGAGCCAGAGTGACTCAGACACTGTTGTGAGAACCAGAGTGACTCAGACACTGTTGTGAGAGCCAGAGTGACTCAGACACTGTTGTGAGAGCCAGAGTAACTCAGACACTGCTGTGAGAGCCAGGGTGTCTCAAACAAGGTTGTAAGGGAGAGCAACTCATTGTTGTGAAAGAGTGACTCAGACATTGTTGTGAGCAAGAGTGACTCATTCAAGATTGTGAGAGTGACCCAGACTAGGTTGTGAGTGACTCATACAAAATTGTAAGAGTCCTTACCAGACTCATACAAGGTTGTAAGAGTGAGAGTGAACCACGCAAAGTTCTAAGAGTGAGAGTGACCCATACAATGATGCAAATGAGTGACTCATACAGTACTGTGAGAGCGAAAGTGACTCATACAGTGTTGTGAGAGTGACTCATGCAAGGTTGTGAAAATGAATCAGTGTTGTGAGAGTGACTCGTAAAAGGATGTGAAAGCGGCTCATACAAGGTTGCAAGAGTGACTCATACAAGGTTTTGAGAATGACTCATACAAAGATGTATGTGAGTGACTCATACAAGGTTGTGAGAATGACTCATTCAAGGATGTAAGTAAGTGTGACTCATACAGTATTGTAGGAGTGAGTGTTACGCATTTTTGGCTGCTTAACTTAAAGGGTAAAACCTGGTATGTCTAAGGACATGTACATTAATAAAAAAATAGAAAATGAAACCACTCCGATGTTATCATGACGCCAAATGACTTCGAACAGGCGATAAATGACATGCCCATGCACTTTGCCCCAGGGCCAGACTCATGGAACTCTGTGTTCATCAAGAACTGCAAGAAGCCCCTATCACGAGCCTTTTCCATCCTATGGAGAGGGAGCATGGATACGGGGGTCGTCCCACAGTTACTAAAAACAACAGACATAGCCCTACTCCACAAAGGGGGCAGTAAAGCAACAGCAAAGAACTACAGACCAATAGCACTAACATTCCATATCATAAAAATCTTTGAAAGGGTCCTAAGAAGCAAGATCACCACCCATCTAGAAACCCATCAGTTACACAACCCAGGGCAACATGGGTTTAGAACAGGTCGCTCCTGTCTGTCTCAACTATTGGATCACTACGACAAGGTCCTAAATGCACTAGAAGACAAAAAGAATGCAGATGTAATATATACAGACTTTGCAAAAGCCTTCGACAAGTGTGACCATGGCGTAATAGCGCACAAAATGCGTGCTAAAGGAATAACAGGAAAAGTCGGTCGATGGATCTATAATTTCCTCACTAACAGAACACAGAGAGTAGTCGTCAACAGAGTAAAGTCCGAGGCAGCTACGGTGAAAAGCTCTGTTCCACAAGGCACAGTACTCGCTCCCATCTTGTTCCTCATCCTCATATCCGACATAGACAAGGATGTCAGCCACAGCACCGTGTCTTCCTTTGCAGATGACACCCGAATCTCCATGACAGTGTCTTCCATTGCAGACACTGCAAAGCTCCAGGCGGACATCAACCAAATCTTTCAGTGGGCTGCAGAAAACAATATGAAGTTCAACGATGAGAAATTTCAATTACTCAGATATGGTAAACATGAGGAAATTAAATCTTCATCAGAGTACAAAACAAATTCTGGCCACAAAATAGAGCGAAACACCAACGTCAAAGACCTGGGAGTGATCATGTCAGAGGATCTCACCTTCAAGGACCATAACATTGTATCAATCGCATCTGCTAGAAAAATGACAGGATGGATAATGAGAACCTTCAAAACTAGGGAGGCCAAGCCCATGATGACACTCTTCAGGTCACTTGTTCTATCTAGGCTGGAATATTGCTGCACACTAACAGCACCTTTCAAGGCAGGTGAAATTGCCGACCTAGAAATTGTACAGAGAACTTTCACGGCGCGCATAACGGAGATAAAACACCTCAATTACTGGGAGCGCTTGAGGTTCCTAAACCTGTATTCCCTGGAACGCAGGAGGGAGAGATACATGATTATATACACCTGGAAAATCCTAGAGGGACTAGTACCGAACTTGCACACGAAAATCACTCACTACGAAAGCAAAAGACTTGGCAGACGATGCACCATCCCCCCAATGAAAAGCAGGGGTGTCATTAGCACGTTAAGAGACCATACAATAAGTGTCAGGGGTCCGAGACTGTTCAACTGCCTCCCAGCACACATAAGGGGGATTACCAACAGACCCCTGGCAGTCTTCAAGCTGGCACTGGACAAGCACCTAAAGTCAGTTCCTGATCAGCCAGGCTGTGGCTCGTACGATGGTTTGCGTGCAGCCAGCAGCAATAGCCTGGTTGATCAGGCTCTGATCCACCAGGAGGCCTGGTCACAGACCGGGCCGCGGGGACGTTGACCCCCGGAACTCTCTCCAGGTAAACTCCAGGTAAACTCCAGGTAAACTCTAGGGGCAGGTTGTATCTTCATACAAATTATGAACATAAATTTAAATGGTCAATGTATTATGAGGAAGGGCATAAAAACTCACCTATACAAAAATATAATATATTAATATTAAAGTAACATATACAGCCTACAATCTACTCTACTACAACCAACATCACCACACTCCAGTTCACCTACACCCAGTACTCACATTAACTAACTAGCACACTGTTACTAGTGAGTAAAATAAAACATATAAACATTTATAAACAGGCAAAAACACCATATAAGCACTCTACCAAAACATAAACAGGCCTCGGCACACTAGGGCCTTACAGGTAAAAATGAGAGCACATATAAAATTATCTATAGTGTAAAAAAAAAGTTCACCGATTCACCTTTTCACATAATAACATCTTGCTCCATCTGCTGTGCTTCATCCACTGTACAAAACACGTCACTCTCCTCTCTCCTGGCCACTCTGACTCACCAGGAATAATACGTGTCCGGTTTCAGGACAATCCAGGAACTATGGAGCATTTTTTATACAATGTTTTTACTACTTCACACTGCGTAATAGTGAGTCACTCATACAAGGTTGTGAGAGTGACTCATACAAGCTTGTAAGAGTGAGTGTGACTCATACAAGGTTTTGAGAGGAGAGTGACTCAAAGAGTGTTGTGAGAATGACTCAGAAAATATTGTGAGAGTGAGAGTAACTCATACAAGCTTGTAAGAGTGAGTGTGACTCATACAAGGTTTTGAGAGGAGAGTGACTCAAAGAGTGTTGTGAGAATGACTCACAAAATATTGTGAGAGTGAGAGTGACTCAGACAAGGTTGTAAAAGTGAGAGTGACTCTTAGAATTTAGTGAGAGAGAATATCACACTCTCCCTCTCTCTCTTTTTCATTATTATAATAACCTAATTGTTGTTATCGTATGCTCTCTTGTTCTCTCTGCTTGTCTTAGAGTAAGACTGAGAAAATTATTATTGGATCTCTTCTTTCGATAATTCCAGGAGAAAGTCTGTAAACCCAGACAAGTGCATGTACTCACTTAGTTACTCACCTACTTGAGGTTACAGGGGTCGAATCCAAGCTCCTGGCCCCGCCTCTTCACTGGTGTGTGTGTGTGTGCGTGCGTTTGTTCATCTTCACCCACGTCTGCTACAGTGTGGCTGACACTTGCCTCTCCCTACAAAAATAGGGTGATGCTGATGTCTGCTGTAGTATTGCTAACAATTATCTCTCTCCCATCAGAAATGCGTTGTTGCTGACACTTGCTGTTGTGTTGCTGATAACTGGATCTTTTCTGTATTATTATTATTATTATTATTATTATTATTATTATTATTATTATTATTATTATTATTATATCATCATCATCATCATCATCGTTATCATTAAGTTAAGCGCTACACCCGAAAGGGTCATGAGTTGCTATATTTTCTCTGTAGATATGTGCTGGTGCTGACGTCTGCTGTAGCGTTGCTGGCTGCTGACTTTTTCTGCAGACATAGGATAATGCTGAAGACTGCTGTAGTGTTGCTGACATCTGCCTCTTTTCATGTATACATAGGGTGGTGGTGATACCTGCCTTTTAAATCCCTGTAGACATACATTAGTGCTGATGTCTGCTGTAGTATTGCTAACATCTGCCTCTCTCCCTGCAGGCAAACATGAGTTCTGACGTCTGCTATAGTGTTGCTGAGACCTGTTTTTCTCTCTTCTTGCAGACATACGGTGGTGTTGATGGTGCTGACGTATATATTGCCGCTGCTGTGTATGGGGTTCACGTACGCGCGTATAGGCATGACGTTGTGGGGGAGTCGGAGCATCGGGGAGCAGACGCCTAGGCAGGTGGAAAGCATCCGCTCAAAAAGGAAGGTGAGATATCCATATTTTCCAATCTATTGTAAAGCTGGTATGTACGTGACCCCATGAGAAGTTTGCGAGAAATTTTATGTTAGAGACATCTATAGAACTTGGAGAACGTTTTGACAAATTCACACGGATGGATGTATAGTGATGACCATATATTGCCTGTCCTTGTATGTTCACGTACCGCTTTGAATAGGGCATGACGTTGTGGATCGGAGATGGAGAAATACTAGATGAAAAGATCGCTGAAAAGTAAGGTTGATACACATTTCCAATCTAATTTAAAGTGGTATGACGTGACACCATGAAAGTATTGCTAAGAAATTTGAGTGTTGAGACATTCTAACACTGGGAACGATTGAACAATCTCACGATTGGATGTAGTATGGTTAGCCAATTATTGCCTCCTCACCTTGAATTTGCACAACCATTATATGAAATTCTACAGGCACCTCTCAGAAGAAAAAATATCTTAGGATGCAATGGAAGTCTTTATTACTCACTAACAATATCCACAACTAGCTGCATCAAAGTTGTGTTTAGTGTCACAGACAAGATAATGTCTCAAACAGCCGCATCTTAACATATGCTCAGCTGACTGTTTCGTACATCACCTCATATATCTAAAAATATCATGAGTTGCCTATACTAGCCATTTGGGCATTATTAACAAGTTGTTTCTTCATTAAAATATCCTAATACAGTAAGTTGATTTATTTCGATAAACTATAAATATAAAAAATAAATTTAAGACTTGTAGTAGCTAAAAGTAAACCATAAAATTACTCATGCCTTTATCTATTATAACAAAGATAGGTTTATATCCTCCAAGTAATACTTAAAGAATCACATTTTTGATCGCACGTTAATTTATAAATCATAAATAACTGGTTGTTTAGTGATGAGTACTACAGGAAAGACCAGACTAAAATCCTCCATAAATTGATCGATTAACTCTCGAGGATCCGTTTCTAATCCGGGTACGAACAAAATCCGACCCAGTTTACATTGACGATTGTCTCACCGTGTAACTTGAAGTAATCATCTGGATGTTAGTGAAAGCATGAATTCCAGGAGAAAGACCCAATAAAATCCTACACGTGGTTTCATTGGTTAAGTCCATTTAATAATTCCTCCGTTATTAACCTAACACGATTTGGATTCTACAGTTACCTTAATTTTCCTGATGTTCTGACAGTGAAATCTTACCAGAGAAGACAATAAATACACTCACGATTTTTCAAGTAGAGTTCCTCTTTTACGAAATTCAGTCGCCTGAGCCTTGGTAGCGTCCTTACCTGAGGAAGGACAAGTTCCTGGAAAGGTCCTTACCAAGAGGGAGAATACTAGCCTGAGAGTCCTTACAGAGGAGGACTACACTGAGAGGTAGCCTGAGAGGTCCTTACCAGAGGAAGGGACAAGCCTGAGAGGTCCTTACCAGAGGGAGTGACTAGCCTGAGAGGTCCTTACCAGAGGGAGGGACCACCCTGAGAGGTCCTTACCAGAGGGAGGTACCAGCCTGAGAGGTCCTTACCAGAGGAGGGACAAGCCTGAGAGGTCCTTACCAGAGGGAGGGACAAGCCTGAGAGGTCCTTACCAGAGGAAGTGACAAGCCTGAGAGGTCCTTACCAGAGGAAGGGACAAGCCTGAGAGGTCCTTACCAGAGGAAGGGACAAGCCTAACTACCAGAACACTGAGAGGTCCTTACCAGAGGAAGGGACAAGCCTGAGAGGTCCTTACCAGAGGAAGGGACAAGCCTGAGAGGTCCTTACCAGAGGAAGGACAACCTGAGAGTCCTACCAGAGAAGACAAGCCTGAGATCCTTACCAGAGAAGACAGCTGAGAGGTACCTTACCAGAGAAGACAGCCTGAGAGGTCTTTACCAGAGGAAGTGACTAGCCTGAGAGGTCCTTACCAGAGGAAGGGACAAGCCTGAGAGGTCCTTACCAGAGGAAGGGACAAGCCTGAGAGATCCTTACCAGAGGAAGGGACAAGCCTGAGAGGTCCTTAACAGAGGAAGTGACTAGCCTGAAGGTCCTTACAAGAAGGGACAGCCTGAGAGGTCCTTACCAGAGGAAGGGACAAGCCTGAGAGGTCCTTACCAGAGGAAGGGACAAGCCTGAGAGGTCCTTACCAGAGGAAGGGACAAGCCTGAGAGGTCCTTACCAGAGGAAGTGACTAGCCTGAGAGGTCCTTACCAGAGGAAGGGACAAGCCTGAGAGGTCTTTACCAGAGGAAGTGACTAGCCTGAGAGGTCCTTACCAGAGGAAGGGACAAGCCTGAGAGGTCCTTACCAGAGGAAGGGACAAGCCTGAGAGATCCTTACCAGAGGAAGGGACAAGCCTGAGAGGTCCTTAACAGAGGAAGTGACTAGCCTGAGAGGTCCTTACCAGAGGAAGGGACAAGCCTGAGAGGTCCTTACCAGAGGAAGGGACAAGCCTGAGAGGTCCTTACCAGAGGAAGGGACAAGCCTGAGAGGTCCTTACCAGAGGAAGGGACAAGCCTGAGAGGTCCTTACCAGAGGAAGGGACAAGCCTGAGAGGTCCTTACCAGAGGAAGGGACAAGCCTGAGAGGTCCTTACCAGAGGAAGGGACTAGACTGAGAGGTCCTTACCAGAGAAAGGGACAAACCTGAGAGGTCCTTACCAGAGGAAGGGACAAGCCTCAGAGGTCCTTACCAGAGGAAGGGACAAGCCTGAGAGGTCCTTACCAGAGGAAGGGACCAGCCTGAGAGGTCCTTACCAGAGGGAGGGACCAGCCTGAGAGGTCCTTACCAGAGGAAGGGACAAGCCTGAGAGGTCCTTACCAGAGGGATGACTAGCTGAAGGTCCTACAGGGGAGCACCCTGAGAGGTCCTTACCAGAGGGAGGGACCAGCCTGAGAGGTCCTTACCAGAGGGAGGGACCAGCCTGAGAGGTCCTTACCAGAGGGAGGGACCAGCCTGAGAGGTCCTTACCAGAGGGAGGGACCAGCCTGAGAGGTCCTTACCAGAGGAAGGGACCACCCTGAGAGGTCCTTACCAGAGGGAGTGACTAGCCTGAGAGGTCCTTACCAGAGGGAGTGACTAGCCTGAGAGGTCCTTACCAGAGGGAGTGACTAGCCTGACAGGTCCTTACCAGAGGAAGTGACTAGCCTGAGAGGTCCTTACCAGAGTGTGGGACCAGCCTGAGAGGTCCTTACCAGAGAGAGGGACCAGCCTGAGAGGTCCTTACCAGTGTGTGGGATCAGCCTGAGAGGTCCTTACCAGAGAGAGGGACCAGCCTGAGAGGTCCTTACCAGAGTGTGGGACCAGCCTGAGAGGTCCTTACCAGAGAGAGGGACCACCCTGAGAGGTCCTTACCAGAGTGGGACCAGCCTGAGAGGTCCTTACCAGAGAGAGGGACCAGCCTGAGAGGCCTTTACGAGAGAGAGGGACCAGCCTGAGAGGTCCTTACCAGAGAGAGGGACAAGCCTGAGAGATCCTTACCAGAGAGAGGAACCAGCCTGAGATGTCCTTACCAGAGTATGGGACAAGCCTGAGAGGTCCTTACCAGAGAGAGGGACCAGCCTGAGAGGTCCTTACCAGAGAGAGGGACCAGCCTGAGAGGTCCTTACCAGAGTGTGGGACCAGCCTGAGAGGTCCTTACCAGAGAGATGGACCAGCCTGAGAGGTCCTTACCAGAGAGAGGAACCAGCCTGAGAGGTCCTTACCAGAGAGAGGAACCAGCCTGAGAGGTCCTTACCAGAGAGAGGGACCAGCCTGAGAGGTCCTTACCAGAGAGAGGGACCAGCCTGAGAGGTCCTTACCAGAGAGAGGGACCAGCCTGAGAGGTCCTTACCAGAGAGAGGGACCAGCCTGAGAGGCCTTTACGAGAGAGAGGGACCAGCCTGAGAGGTCCTTACCAGAGAGAGGGACCAGCCTGAGAGGTCCTTACCAGAGAGAGGGACCAGCCTGAGAGGTCCTTACCAGAGAGAAGGACCAGCCTGAGAGGTCCTTACCAGAGAGAGGGACCAGCCTGAGAGGTCCTTACCAGAGAGAGGGACCAGCCTGAGAGGTCCTTACCAGAGTGAGGGACCAGCCTGAGAGGTCCTTACCAGAGTGTGGGACCAGCCTGAGAGGTCCTTACCAGAGAGAGGGACCAGCCTGAGAGGTCCTTACCAGAGAGAGGGACCATCCTGAGAGGGCTTTACTTGCATATACATTTTCGTTATTCTTGTTTAATTAAGATAACTTATTTAAAATATTAACATTATTGATGCTGAACTCTTGGTAAAGGAGAGACAATGAGAAGTAAAACTAGGATAAATTTGCCAACATCAACAATAAAGTTGTCCCTGACAACACTTGTGCCATGAAAAGTGTGCACATAACGGATGTTCGTGGATCTGTCACTTCTTGAACAACACGGCTGCACACCCGTGTTATTAGCTACTGAACACAACACGGTTAGTCACCAATGATCCTAGATACGGAATACATCACGGATGCTCACCTGTGTTCCTTGATACCAAACACCATCATGACTGGTCACAACTGATCTTAGATACTGTCCACTGGTCATACGTAAATGACAGCCTGAATAAACATAAACATTTAAGCCATACCAGAGAAAATATAAAATAGAAGTTAAATAAAAAATTTTATTTAAATAAAATTTAATTCTTTTACTGCAAATAAAGACAGTGCCACTGAAATAAGTTATCTTTTAAAGTTAGAATAATTTAAATACATATCTGATATAACTTGGTGCACTAATCTATAGGTCAAGTGACTGATGAAAAAATAAGCAAGGTGTAAATATTCCCAAGAATATAAGAGACGTTCACTGTCCAATTCACCTTGTCATTCAATCTCCAACTCATACTGACTGTCATTCACTGTCCAACTTACGTTGTTATTCATTGTGAGGACAAACAGGTCACAGCTGGACTGACGGGTGATACAGTAAAGTGGCTGTTTCTTTATTTGCTCGCTATGAAAATACATCTTTGTACTTCACTTTAAAATGTGAGTGTAAAAATATATAAAATAAGTAAAGGTGTGTCAGTACAGCTACCCCCAGCATAACTGCATACCTAGCCACTCTCACTCACTTATACACTTACAAGTTAGCTATCAGGACGTTAACTGTTCATTCTTTAAGTTTTTTAAGGACATCCATGGAAAAAGTACTCATTTAAGCTATGGAAATGCATTGGTAGATACCCCTGAAACCACTGATACTAAACATAACGCGGCTCGGCACCTGTCTTCCTAGATACGAAAATAATTACAGTAAACTGACACATTTAGCCGTGTTGCTCATCACTGAAAAAAGTCTTCATGGCTCTAGTTACAAATCTAAACCCTGTGGAATAGTCCAAAGGTGTTCGCTGTAAATCTAATAGACGCCTTGGCTTCGTATCTAAGGGTACATAAATATCAGTATATATAGGGGAAGAAAGGTCAGGTGCGGGAGGCGTCAAGTGAATGATGTGTGAGTCAGGTCAGTTGACCGCGGTGTCTTGTCGGGGTAGCACCAGGTTAGCCAGTACACTTAAAATATTAACACAATCTGGTTTCTGGACTACACTTGTAGAAACTGAGTTCAGTACATCCTCAAGGAACCGTGGAGGAAATGTGGAGATTTTAATACCTGCATGTTAGAATATTCTAGAGATAGGATAGTAACTTTCTTCCAGTGTATCTGTGACTGTTATTCCTCTTGTTGCCAGGTGAGGGGGGGGGGGGAGATGGCCTGGTTGGCAAAGCTCTTGCTTCACACACGGATGGCCCGAACACAGTTGGATCTTTAGTTACTAGCCTGGCTTCTCACTACTTCATCAGATAGCTATGAGAAATACAGTGAACCATTCACAAGTTTTTCAAGTCGCCCCAGCCACAGGGGTATTTATGTTCTGTTAGGCACGGATCCAGATTTTTTGATGTCACTCCAAAGCATAGTTTATCACAGCAACCACACGAGATGACATAGAATCGTGCGTTGGGGTTTATAGTAGTGACTGTGACCACATCAACTTGCAGCTAGGGCGTTCGCTACGTTATTGGATGTCCCTACATGGGCGGAATAAGTACCCTTTAGCGGGGCTCTCTGAAATTGCGTTCTTGAAGCGTTGTGCTCTTCTGCAACCATTGATAAAATAGGACGGCCTTCCGTCCCGATCTTTCTGGAAAGCAGGGCGGGAGATCCTGTAGGTTCTCAAGAAAAACCCAATTATACCACCTGTTTTGGTTCTAATGTCGTGATGGAGGTATTAATGCAAATAACATTTGTTAGTTGTCTGTTGGATCACCATCCCGGTCTTCCTTGAAAATAATTGTTATTATTGTTATTAAATAATTGTTATTATAATGTCTATTTAGAAAAGATATAAAAATACACTAATTTCGAAAGTGAGTTATGGATGAGTGAAACAAATTGTCGAGTAGTGCCATCTGTGGGACACTGTAGCGTTGACAACGGTATCCTAGTACAAAAGATATTTGCAGCTTCATTACTCCACCACAGATAATGAATAACAAGGGTTGTGTATAAGGACTCACCTAGTGTAGGCCTGCGCAGTTTTTTTCAGTTATTTTGTTCTTTCTTCCTTTAGAGAGCCCCACATTGTGACGTCATCATTCTCGGCACGTCACCTCTGGCACCACAAAAGGCTCCTGTCTCCTGCTTCTGCTTCACATGGTTCGAGACTGTGAAGCTGAACACATCATTAGGCTAAGGGACTGACCATTTCAAACTACCTCTAGATTGATGAACTGATTACATCTGTACCTATCCACTCCTGCTGTCTCCATAATTGTCACGTCTATATTCGACTGATGAAGCCTACTGTGTAGTAGGCGAAAAGTTTCGGAATAAAGATACCTAACTGTTGCACATGTATCTCATTTATCTGGTCTTATCGAAGCTTCAAGATAAGTTAGACAAACAACTAACAATGAATGGGAGTATCGGTGCGAGCAGAGCTTCCCACTGTGACACAGTTCAGTAAACCTGCTGCAATACTCATCTTTTTTTGTATACAATGTAAGAGACTGCAGTTCTACTTTTAGTAGTCCTGAGCAAAGCCCTGCCATACAACCGCAAAGGTGAATTTTAAGCACTTTAAATAATATAAGCTCATAGAGAAGTATGTACTGTAGGTTTTTCGGTTAAAATACAACTGTGACTGTTTATTTACATGGCTTAAAGCATAAGTTTAGCAAACTAATAACTAATGGATTATGTCACGATACTGTCAAGTTGTAAATGTGCAATATTGTATAATGTAAGTGCTTCATTTAGAGTACACTGAAGTGCCATCAACTTGTAAAGGTGATTAACAATTAAGATAAACAAGTTCAAAGATTGCTGTTTCCGTGTATACTGTGTGGTGTATTGTACTGCTTACTCAGTTTTAGCGTGAAACTTGTGCACATTATCTTTAGTGACGATCAAGCATGGTGCAATGTGGAAACAGTCGTATTAAACACATATTACTTTATCATAAAGATCAGTACAATTAGTGTGACTGTGTGTTGTTATGCTTGTTATGTGATTTTTAATAACTGGTCCACAATACATGTTGAGTATCTTTGTGACATGTGAAGAACGTGATGTGGAAATTGCTGTTTCGTCAGGTACAACATGTGCCATAGTGAATTGTTGTTATCTCATTAGTGTATATAATATATAGTGACAGTTTGTTCTTTTATGTTGATAGTGAGTGTTTGGAATAGTGGTAATGAACATGTTTATTTTGTTACGGTCATTGAAGATGTGATAGATGGTAGTGACATGTTGTTTTTGTTTGTTGTACAGGAAAGATGTTATAGTGGTAGTGAAATGTTGTTGTATGTTTGTTACATGTGAAGATGATGATAGTGGTAGTGATCATGTTTTTTGTTGTTGCAGGTAGTGAAGATGATGGATTAGTGATAGTGACATGTTGTTGTTGTTGTTACAGTGTGAAGATGATGATAGTGGTAGTGACATGTTCTGTGTTGTTGTTGACAGAGAGTGAAGATGATGATAGTGGAAGTGACCATGTTGTTGTTGTTACAGGTAGTGAAGATGATGATAGTGGTAGTGACCATGTTGTTGTTGTTGTTGTTACAGGTGGTGAAGATGATGATAGTGGTAGTGACATGTTGTTGTGTTGTTACAGGTGGTGAAGATGATGATAGTGGTAGTGACCATGTTGTTGTTGTTGTTACAGGTGGTGAAGATGATGATAGTGGTAGTGACCATGTTGTTGTTGTTGTTACAGGTGGTGAAGATGATGATAGTGGTAGTGAACATGTTCTTGTTGTTGTTGTTACAGGAGGTGAAGATGATGATAGTGGGAGTGACCATGTTGTTGTTGTTGTTACAGATGGTGAAGATGATGATAGTGGTAGTGACACATGTTGTTGTTGTTGTTACAGGTGTGAAGATGATGATAGTGGTAGTGAACATGTTGTTGTTGTTGTTACAGGTGGTGAAGATGATGATAGTGGTAGTGACCATGTTGTTGTTGTTGTTACAGGTGGTGAAGATGATGATAGTGGTAGTGACCATGTTGTTGTTGTTGTTACAGGTAGGTGAAGATGATGATAGTGGTAGTGACCATGTTGTTGTTGTTGTTACAGTGAGTGAAGATGATGATAGTGGTAGTGACCATGTTGTTGTTGTTGTTACATAGTGAGTGATGAGGAGTGATGAAGATAGATAGTGGTAGTGAACATGTTGTTGTTGTTGTTACAAGGTGGTGAAGATGATGATAGTGGTAGTGACCATGTTGTTGTTGTTGTTACAGTGGTGAAGATGATGATAGTGGTAGTGACCATGTTGTTGTTGTTGTTACAGGTGGTGAAGATGATGATACTGGTAGTGACCATGTTGTTGTTGTTGTTACAGGTAGTGAAGATGATGATAGTGGTAGTGACCATGTGTTGAAGTTGTTGTTACAGGTGGTGAAGATGATGATACTGGTAGTGACCATGTTGTTTTTGTTGTTACAGGTATGAAGATGATGATAGTGTAGTGACCTTGGAAGTGATATAGTGGATGACCATGTGTGTTGTTGTTACAGGGTGAAGATGATGACAGTGGTAGTGACCATGTTGTTGTTGTTGTTGTTACAGGTGGTGAAGATGATGACAGTGGTAGTGACCATGTTGTTGTTGTTGTTGTTACAGGTGGTGAAGATGATGACAGTGGTAGTGACCATGTTGTTGTTGTTGTTGTTACAGGTGGTGAAGATGATGATACTGGAAGTGACCATGTTGTTGTTGTTACACGTAGTGAAGATGATGATAGTGGTAGTGACCATGTTGTTGTTGTTGTTACAGCTGGTGATCTTAAGATAATGATAGTGGTAGGGACCATGTTGTTGTTGTTACAGGTGGTGGAGATGATGATAGTTGTAGTGACCATGTTGTCGTTGTTACAGGTGGTGAAGATGATGATAGTGGTAGTGAACATGTTGTTGTTGTTGTTACAGGTGGTGAAGATGATGATGGTGGTTGTGACCATGTTGTTGTTGTTATAGGTAGTGAAGATGATGAAAGTGGTAGTGACCATGTTGTTGTTGTTGTTACAAGTGGTGAAGATGATGATAGTGGTAGTGACCATGTTGTTGTTGTTGTTACAGGTGGTGAAGATGATGATACTGGAAGTGACCATGTTGTTGTTGTTAAAGGTAGTGAAGATGATGAAAGTGGTAGTGACCATGTTGTTGTTGTTGTTACAGGTGGTGAAGATGATGATAGTGGTAGTGACCATCTTCGCCATCTGCTGGCTGCCTTATCACGTCTACTTCATTCTCTCCAATCTGGTAAGTCTCAAGTAGGTGGAATCGAAGAGAGGGTTATCGGAGAGGGAGTGGAAGAGGAAGCGGAGAGGGGTTGAAAAGAGGATTACAGGAAAGTGAGATCGGGGGAGAAGATGGAGGTATAAAAAAGAGTACTGTAGAAGAGCGAGGGGGAGGGGGAGAGGTAGAGCTAATTGCAGAAGAGTGGAAGGGGAATGGGAGAGAGTTGCAGGAGAGGGAGTGGAAGGGGAATGGAAGGGGTGGCAGAAAAGGGAGTAGAAGGAGAATGGGAGGGGTTGAAGGAAATAGAATAGAAGGTACATAACCATGTCTAACGCAACATTTAAATACTCCAGCAGGTACTGGAGTACCTTACACTTGAATTCCTCCAGCAGGTATTGGTGCGCCTCCAGCAGGTACTGGAGTATTTTGCACTTGAAAACCTCCCGCAGGTACTAGAGTATCTTACCCCTGAATACCTTCAGCAGGTACTGGAATATCTTACACTTGAATACCTCCAGCAGGTACTGGAATATCTTACATTTGAATACCTCCAGCAAGTACTGGTGTACCTCCAGCAGGTGGAAATAAATGGCATAAAATACAATGGAAATATAAACAGATGTGCAGTATAATGTGATCCTTTATTGACAATTAACGATCACATTATACCGCATATGTGTTTATATTTCCACCTCCAGCAGGTAATGGAGTGTCTTACACTTGGATACCTCCAGCAGGTACTAGAGTATCTTACAGTTGAATATCTCCAGCAGGCACCGGAGTACCTCCAACAGGTACTGGAGTATCTTACACTTGAATACCTCCAGCAGGTACTAGTGTGCCTCCAGCAGGTACCGGAGTATCTTACCCTTGAATACTTCCAGCAGTTACTGGAGTATCTTACAGATGAACACCTCCATGTACTGGTGTACCTCCAGCACGTACTGGAATATCTTATACTTTAATACCTCAAGCAGGTACTGGAGTATATTACACTTTAATATCTCCGGCAGGCACTGGAGTACCTCCAGCAGGTACTTTTATCTACACATGAATACCTTAACACTTGGATACCTCCAGCAGGTACTAGAGTATCTTACAGTTGAAATCCTCCAGGTACGGAGTAGCCTCCACAGGTACTGGAGTATCTTACACTTGAATACTCGAAAGGTACTGGTGTCCTCCAGCAGGTACCGGAGTATCTTACCCTGAGTACTTCCAGCAGTTACTGGAGTATCTTACAAAAACACTCCAGCATCGCACGACGGGAATACTATACTTAACCCAGCAGGTATGGAGTATATTACCCTTGAATATCTCCGAGCAAGTACTGAGTACCTCCAGCAGGTACTTAGTATCTTACACTTTAATACCTCAGACAGACATGGAAACTCCGCGCGGAGGCTACTGCAATGTAACTCCAGCAGGTACTGGATATTTACACTTATACTTGAAATATCCTCAGCGGCACCGGAGTACATCCAACAGGCACTGGAGTATCTCACACGTTTAATACCCTCCCAGCAGACACTGAGTACACTCAGCAGGTATTGGAGTATCTTACCCTTAATACCTTCAGCAGCAACTGGAGTTCTCAGCAGGTACTGGAGTATCTTACACTTTAATACCTCCAGCAGCACTGGAGAATTCTCGCGAGGACTGGAGTACTGATATCTTACACTTTAATACCTCTAGCGGCATTGGAGTATCCTCCAGCAGGTACTGGAGTATCTTACACTTTAATACCTCCAGCAGGCACTGGAGTTCCTCCAGCAGGTACAAGAGCATCTTACCCTCACAACTGAAGTTTCTTCTTGCACAGGATGCGGCATTTCTGAAGAACTGGAGTTCTCTAAACTATTATTTCCTGGACGTGATCCATGACATTCGATTTATCTAATTTTACTTCTAGGTGAACAAGGGTCAGCAAGGATATATGAAAACTTGCCCAAATGTTTCTCCATGAGAGTGACTCAAACCCAGGATCTTGTGATTGTTGAGCCGAATGCTTTCACCACTGAGTAGTTGGCACCCTCAAGGGAAGAAAAAAAGTAATGAAGAGTGAGGGGAAGGGGGAGGGATGATACTAGATGATGAAGAGAGGAGTGAGAGAAGTGGGAGACGGAGAGAGAGGGTTGGACGGAGGGATCAGTAGGAGTGAAAGGGATGGAGTGAGAAGCAGGAGTGTAAGGAGGGAGTGAGATGTAGGAGTGAGATGGAAGGAGTGAGCAGTAGGAGTAAGAATGAGAGCAGTGGGAGACGGGGAAGAGAGGAAGTCAGAGGGTGAGACGAAGGTTGCAATAGGAGAGAGATCCGAAAGTAAATGGGAGTGAATGAATGAAAACAGCTGTAAGTGGAGTGAGGCAGGTGTGTAGGTGAGGCACAGGCATAGAGTGTGGCAGGTGATTCAGGTGTGTGGAATGAAGCTGGAGTGAGATGAGGCACAATGGGGTGAGGCTGGCATAAAGAGAGAGACAGGTATGGAGAACGAAATAATGGGGTTGGGCTGGTGTGAGGTACACGGGGGGGGGATAGATGTGTGAGGGTGAGGAATAAGGGGGTGGGGCAGGTGTGGGATGCAGCACAATGGGGGTGGGGTAGGTGTGCGGTGCGGCACGAGTGGGGAGTGAGCACACATACGAGGAGACTATGAAAGAGAAAGAGGAAAAGCAAAATTGCTTGAGATGAAAAGAATTTGAAACAGATTGGATGTCTGTAGTGTGCCCGAGGTAGAGGGTAGAGAGAGAGAGAGAGAGAGAGAGAGAGAGAGAGAGAGAGAGAGAGGAGAGAGAGAGAGAGAGAGAGAGAGAGAGAGAGAGAGAGAGAGAGAGAGAGAGATGGGAAAAGAGGTAGTGGGATAGGTCAGTATGTATTTATATAGTTATGTTTGCTCCACCTATTAGCTATTGACGATTATTATTCATTTCTTGTCATCAAGGTCCTGATCACTGCAACTCTCTTAGGTGTATGAGTGGTTCTCCTGCATCACTTCTTCAGCAAGTTCATTCTTAGTACCCAGAGCCTGAAGAATATCGTACCTCCCTTGTCGTTCACGTGCTGCCCCAGGATTCCCTCTCTTATGGCACTGGGCGTTCTTAGGTGCTCTCTTTGCCCTCTGGCTCCTAACGTCTCTGTGGCTCATGTTATTTTTTTGTACTACGTACATGGCTCTCTCACCTGTGGTTCATGTCCGTCTTTAGATGTGTTCTTTTCCCTCTGACATAGTCTCTTAGCAATATCGGGTGTGATCACTGAAGCCGGCAAGAGCTTCACAAGAATACCTGTCGCAAGAGGAAAAACCCTTATAACGAAGGCCAGGTGCTTCTTGACAACCTTCAGCCAGACCAAGAAGTGTGTGGATGAGGTACACACAGCCAAGTGTTATCTCCACGAATACTTTTTTCCTGGTTATTTATTCGGTCATTTAGTTCTCTTATTCACGATGCGCCAGACAACAGTTGACTTACATCTAGGTATCTATTTATTGCTACTTAACCAAGGGAAGCAACTGTTAGGAGACTTTCTCATAACATTTCCCTAGCCTAAGGATACAGCTTGGGTCCTTTTGATTGTAAGCTGAACGCTCAGCCAATGAGGTACAAGGTACCTACTCAATTTTCCTTACCTTCATTTGGCAAATGGATTGTGCTGTATAGATAACAGAATTGTTTTATATTCTATAAACCATGCAGGAATTACAATTCTTTCCTTAGTGAAGCCGAGTATAAGTATGAGTAGACATTTCATTAGAATACTGTCAATAGAAGATACTTTATTCCCATGGAGGAGATGCCACAGACTGAAAGTTAATTGTGAATTTTTCTAGCTACGGTGCTGTAACTTCAATTCTGCATCTCGTTCTTGTTCAGTAGCAGTAACTGTTCAAAAATACGAGGCCCAAGTTGCCTCACATCTTGAGTATCCACTACACCCTTGAATGGCCTTAGTCCCCGTCTCTCCCTTGCTCCATCCCATCTCTGACATCTAAACACATTACACATATAACCCGCACATGGGAGAGAGAAGCTTTCGACTACGTTTCGGTCCCAGTTGGACCATTTACAACTCACACTAACACAAAAGAGTGAGAGATGCACTTATATAGGCGAGGGGGACAGCGACGGGACAAAGAGAGGAAGAAAAAAAATAGTGGTAGTACTTATGCTGGTAGTGGTAGTAGTAGAAAAAGTAGTAGTGGAAGCATAAAGTAGTGAAAGTAGTAGTTTTAGTGGCAAAAGAGATAGAAAGGGGAGTGAAGGATAAAGGGAGGAATAGTAGTGGTAGTGATAATAGTAGAAGTAATGGAGTGGTAGTTATAGTAGTAATGGAAGTGGGGTAAATCTAAGGACAAGAAAAAGGAGCACTGCAGAGAGCTAAGGGCCCACAAGGGGTAGGACCAAAAACACAAGAGGGGGGAGAGAAGTGAAGGGCAGAACACTCTTACACAGAAGGGAAAACAAAGAAAGAAAAATGAAAAAATAGGAAAGGAGAAGCTGAAGGAAGAGGAGGAGAAGAAAGGATCAGGTCATGAGTGTTCTGAAAACATTTGACAATGTAATGAGAAAGGACGGCATCTACAGAGACAAAGATTCATACTAGGAAAGTTGTGTCTAAAGAATGCTTCAATAAGACGGCGACTGTGAAGGCGAAGAGTAGATAATTTTAGCAGTGGATCAGTCGGTAGGATGACTGTATTCTCTAACATGACAGAAAAGAGTATTATTGGTGTCCACAAGCCTAACACTGTTTGTGTGTTCTTTAAGTCTGTCAAAAAGAGAGCGGCCAGGTTCTCCAAAGTATTGAAGAGGACAAGAGGAGAATGAAATAGAGTACACACCAAGAGCATCTTTAACAGGAGAGGTACATACTAGATTACTGTGAAGGGTGTTAGTCTGGCAGAAAGTAAGCTTGATGTCTAAGGAACAGAGAAAGTTGTTGAAATTAGAAAGACTGGCAATATAGGGAAGGCAGAGAACAGAAGATTTCACAGAAGTATTATTATTATAATAAAAAAAGAAATG